TATTTTTTATTGTTATATAAATATAAATTAAAGAAGGATTTACTATGATCTTATATATATGACATATATTACCTGTCGAAAGGGTACATGAAGTTATTCTATTTTAATTAATAAAATGAGATTAAGAGGAAAAAAATATTCCCTACATTTTTGTTTGTTAAAGTGATTTTAGAAGAAAGAAAACAAGAATAATGTTCTTTAATAATATTTTAATTAGGAAGAAAATGTGTTTAAAAAGAAAAAATAATACATTTATTCAGAAAAGGGCATTTTTGACCCATTTTATAACTATAGGAGTATTTTTGGATCAAAGTATTGACTGCAAAGGCATTTTTAAACCAAAGTATTGACGGTAAGGACATTTTTGAGCCAAACTATAAATGAAGGGCATTTTTACTCTTTTCACATAGTTTAAAGGCTTTTTTGACCCTTTTATGAAGATCTTAGAATTATGATTGATCCTCTATAATAAATTTTTAATATTATTTTTGTTTTTAAATTATAGTATAGACATTTACTTATGTCCCTAAAATTTAGTAGTACTTTTTTGTCCTATCTTTTATGTTTAAGAGTCTTTTTTCCCTATTAATTACACCAAAAAAATTTAGTTTCCATTTTGATTTCTTCTATTAGATGTAAGAGTTCTTTATTGAGATCGTCCCATATTAGAGTTTTTTTAATTATATTTATCTTGTACTATTGACAATTCTCTTCATTACTGGTATGACTGACCTATCTATAAAAATAGATTAAATTTGAAATCGATGATTAGGTTGATTTTTTCTACAATTGTTAGCGCCTGTTTGGCCAAATCACTAGAACGAAAAAAACACAATTTCTTAGATTTTCTTATTGTTAAAAAATTAAGATGTTAGACATGTCATTTCAAATAAAAGTAGAAACAATCTTTTTTACGGTTAGGAAGAAATTAAAACCCTTTGATTCTTATAAAAAATAGAAGTGGAAGCAAAAAATTGTTTTTTGCATAACACAAATATCTACAATTTTTACTATTTATTTATTAATATATCCTTCATTAATTTATTAGCATATGTAATGATTTGGAATTATTTTTAAATTTATTTGGTTGATGTTTTTAGTATATTTAAATAATTATGTTAATATTATATTAATATTTTTATGTACTATATCGATTGAAAATTTATAATATGTATTTTTAATTAAATAAAAATAATACATAATAGATATATACAATAATTTCTCTTTCTAAAATAATCTTAATAATAAAAATGCATTGATACATAATTTTTCTTTTTCGTAATTCCATTGTCTAAATATTTTTTTAGAAAAATTAGTCAAACACTATCTGCTTATCAAAAAATATTTTTCAAATGAATTAGCCACGTAGTCTCTTTGTCCCTAATTGCTTGTCTACTTTTCCTTTTTTAGTTATCCTTAATTACATGTCTATTTTGACAAATCAATAAAGGACAATTTTTTTTTACATATTATACCCTCAATTGATTATTTTGAAAAATGTAGAATTTCTAAAAAATCTTAAGTTTTTAATTCATCTACTTCATAATTAATATGGATAAAATGATAAACGCATTATGTCAATAATTATTTTCTTAATAAGTGTTTCAATTCAAAAGCGGACAACTAATTAGGAACATAAAGAATAAAATTACTATACTGAAAAATTATTTTAACAAAAATAGTGCAAAATAAACCGTTTAGGCCAAACAGAAATGGGATAAAATAGAATAAAATTTCATAAGACCAAAAAAAAAGAAAAATAATAATTTTTCACAAAAATAGCTATAATTAAACCCGTTGTGAACCTTCTCGCCTATATATATATATCCAATAACCCGGGTCTGATCCGGAACTGAACCCGCGTTCATTTTCCTTAAGAGCCAAGAAAATGACCAAAGATTTCTAAAAAAATTTGATTTAAATTCATACGTTGATCTTTTCTTGTTCAAGAATCTTGAACAAGAATGGCAGGGAGGTATGGTTCTTCCGGCGGAGTTGCATCGACGACGATGAACGTAACTAATACGCCGGCGAAAGATCTTGCTTACACCAATTGTGGATATTGTTCTCCTACAGATCTCAGAAATTTTCTTGTTCCGGGATCTAAGTTCGCTTATGCACTCATCGCCGATGCTTTTGTTCTCACTCTTGCATATCCTTTCAAATTTCAATTATTACTGTTCTTATTACTAATTTTTAGATTGAAAATTTATTTCGTTTCTGTTTTTATTATTGGAGAGACTTCTCCATTGAATGCTGATGGGCGAATTCCGATAAGCGTATGTAGTTTGTGATCTATCGTTGTGCTTTTCTATTATATTCATACTGCAGCATTTTAATGATCAAAGATAATGCACTATAGTACTGCCTTAACTGTGAAACACTGCCCACGACGCCATTCCTAATGGTCAACTTGGTCTTAATGCGATTCAAAGACGTTATGCCAAAGTTTCCACTGGAGACGCTATATCTGTTAGCAGGTTCGGCAGAACTGTTCAGATATTGTTGCTTACCGTCGCCTAATTTTTCCATGAAATCACTTAATTAGTGCTTTCACTGTTCACATTGCAGATTTGTTCCACCTGAGGACTTCAACCTTGCTTTACTTACCCTTGACTTGGAGTTTGTGAAAAAAGGGACCAAAGAGGAGCAGGTAAAACTGTCCTGTGTTTTTGTGTCTCGGCGCAAGTTTTTTATATCCAACAATGTCTAGTGTTCTATGCAATGGCTTTGAAAGAGTTAGATTCTTCTTGTCAGAGTAGTTAAAAGTGAAAGAAAGCAAAAAATCTCCAAAGGCTGTTGGAGTATCAAGTGCAAAGTGCTATTTAAGCATGGGCTTTATGGAAAAAAATTGCCAAGTGAAAAAGTAAAAAATATGAATGTAATGCAAGAAAATGTAACTATAAGAACAGATAATAATTATTTGGACAAAAGAATGGTAAAACTATAATATAACTATATATATGGTGTTGTATCCCACGTATGTTGTTGTGTCCTTTAAGGCAGAACTCGTTGGTGAAGGTGCACATGCCTTAACACCTTGACGCTAATTAAGCAAGGCGAAGCGCTCAACCTGGGATCACCAAGCTACAGGGATTAAGCGTGCTTTTAGAGAGCCTTAAAGAACAGTTCTGGTGAAGTTTTGATTGTACCATATCTTTCAGCGTGTAGCAAGTCGAGTCTGGTGTAAAGCATGCAAGGTCGTTTACAATTTTTGTTGTGATGCATTTTGGTTATATCCATCTTCTAGTTTAGCTGGTTTTGTTTTAGGCTTAGGCATCAAGAGTACTCTGGTTCAAACACTTCTGCTGATGTAAACATTGTAAGTTTACCAGATATGTCTTTTTGTAGGTGGATGCAGTTTCTTTAGCTAATCAAGTTCGCAAGAGATTTGCCAAGCAGGTGAAGGCTCTATCCCCCTGCTGCCTCCTCTTAAAAATTTCTGCTCTCAGTAGTTCTTCTCTAATTATCATTTACCTGACAAAGCTTATTGGGCTGCACATACGGTGTTGTTCTTCAAATCTGTACTTTCAAGAATGATTTTCATGTCAGAATACTTTCTTTAGAATTTTGGAAGATAAGGCTGAATAGCGGACATGATCCTTGAAGTCAAACAATGAAAACTAAACATAGTCTATTTGTTTTATTTTTTTCATAATCAATTCAACATACTAAGCATATGCTCCCTTCCTTGTGCTGACTACTTTTGTCAATGAGATCATGTCATAGAGACTACTGAGGATAATGACTGACACATAAATGAGTAGCTTGGCTGTATGTATTCATTTTACAATTTACATGTCGATTATCTGCTTTATTAATCAAGATACATATGGAAATGCCTTGGGGTGTCAGTTGGAATCAATATGTAATAACAATATGGCATGGGGTTCTCCTTGTAGCTGTTCAATTATATGTTTGTCCCAAATGCATTTTGGCACTGGTAGACACATTAAAAACAGACACTTAAGTAAGCCATGCTCCTTAGGAAAAATGCTCTCAGGTTTAAGAAAGGAAGTCTTTCTTTCTTTCTTAAACTCCGTGCTCAGTCACACCATCACATAAATTGGGACTAAGGGAGCACTATATTAGAAGATGACATAAAGCTGCTGTTCTAACTTTTAACTCCCTGGTTTACAAGTTAAGAGTAGATGTTATGAGTCTAGTTCTGATGAAAGTAACTTATGTATAGATTATTAATTTTACCTATGCAGATTATGACAACTGGGCAAAAGGTGACATTAGAGTATCATGGCAATGGTTATATAGTCACTGTGAATCAAGCTACTGTGGAGGGGCAAGAAAAATCTAATGTTGAAAGAGGGATGGTTTCAGCTGACACATACATTATATTTGAAGCCGCAAACTCCAGTGGAATAAAGGTTACTTCTGTCTTTAAGTAATATAATAGTGGCAAATGTTGTCAATGAAAATGGCTTCCCTTTTATTTATTGGAGTTCCTTTTGATTTGATTCTTGCTGCTACTGACTTCAATACAGATTGTCAACCAGCGTGAAGCTGCTAGCAGCAGCATCTTTAGGCAGAAAGAATTCAATCTTGAATCATTGGGTATAGGTGGTCTGGGTGCAGAGTTTTCTGATATTTTTCGAAGAGCTTTTGCTTCCAGGGTTTTCCCTCCCCATGTGACGAGCAAGTATGGAGAGTTCTTGCTGAATAACAAAATTCCTTCTGTTTTCATGAGAACTTATGTCTTTTCTTGAAGAAATAGTGTAGTAAAATTACTTACTCACTTGGCTTTGGCTTTGGCTTTGGGATGAAACTGCTTTCAGGCTTGGTATCAAGCATGTTAAGGGAATGCTTCTCCATGGACCTCCTGGTACAGGGAAGACTCTAATGGCTCGGCAGATTGGCAAAATGCTAAATGGCAAGGAACCTAAGGTAGGTCCATCGAAGTTCTAGAAATTTTTCTTTTGATGTTATTGTTGTTGTTTTGGAAGTTACAATGGACATGTCATTTTGCTTTTATTTTCTTGTAAGCATGTGAATTTGTTTTTTTTTTCCCTAATGCAACCTTGATTGTCTATTGGATTCTTGTTTTTCCTGTTGGTGAATATAAAATGTAGATTGTCAATGGACCTGAAGTGTTAAGCAAGTTTGTCGGTGAAACTGAAAAAAATGTGAGGGATTTGTTTGCTGATGCTGAGCAAGACCAAAAAACCAAAGGTAAGAGAGCTATCATGGCAAGGAATATTTTGAGTTCTAAACTTGGTCCTTTAATCCCCATTCTTGTCTTTCCAGGTGACCAAAGTGAACTGCATGTTATCATTTTTGATGAGATTGATGCAATCTGTAAGGTGGGACCTCATGAAATCATGAATATCTGATTTTTTGAAATTATTACTCATGTTCTTACTATATCCCATGTGGTTGATTCTGTAGATTTAGTTTCTCAACATGATGCTTTTGTTATGCAGTCTAGAGGATCAACTAGAGATGGAACTGGTGTGCATGATAGCATTGTTAACCAGCTCCTAACCAAGGTATGTGTAACAATTTCTAATCATGTTCACAGAGATTAGATTGGCTATAAGACCACTGTAGAATGCTTTTTCCTGTTATTGATTCAAGCTGGTTGATTGTTTCTTGCTGTTTAGATAGATGGGGTGGAATCTCTGAATAATGTTTTGCTCATTGGAATGACAAATAGGAAAGATCTGCTTGACGAAGCACTTATGAGGTAACGGCAGGATCTGTTATAATTTTTGTCTTACTTATTGTTGAAGTTGATATAAATCTGTTTGTTCTAGTATTTCCTTGGTAATTAAGTAATATTTTATGGTGCATTATGAAAATACGACCATTGATATAGGCCAGGACGACTAGAAGTCCAAGTGGAGATAAGCCTTCCTGATGAAAATGGTCGACTACAAATTCTCCAGATTCATACAAATAAGATGAAAGAGAATTCCTTTCTTTCTCCTGATGTGAACTTGCAAGAACTTGGTATGTAGTCGCCACAACTAGCATAACATGCTGGTGTTTGTCATATGGTTCTTTTGAAATACATGATGATTGTAATAAATTCATGTTACTTCCTTAATTGTTTATCAAGTCAGAGATAATATAACTAACTAAAAGTGTTTTCTCTCTAACCACTTATACTTTTAGATTAGATGGTCAAACACTTCAACATGGTAACGGAGCATGCAAAGAGGTCTTGCAAAAAATGCAAAAGATATTTCCACGTGTTTGGTCATGAAAATGAATTAGACCCACATATGAGGGGGCATGTTGAGACATAATATAAGAAATTAATAATGTGTTCTCTGGAACAATCTATTAAATAAGATGGTCACACACTTCAACAAATCTAAAGATATAATGCTGAACTGAAGGTGTTCCCTGCCACTTCTGACCCGCCCTCCTTTGCAAATTGCATGCAGCTGCACGGACAAAAAATTATAGTGGTGCTGAGCTTGAAGGTGTAGTCAAAAGTGCAGTATCCTATGCATTGAACAGGCAACTAAGCATGGATGATCTTACCAAACCAGTGGATGAGGAGAGTATAAAAGTCACTATGGATGACTTTTTGTATGCTATTAATGAAGTAAGACCTGCATTTGGTGCTTCCACTGATGACCTTGAACGGTGCAGGTTGGTTTTCCTGTTCTTTGTGTACAACTGATTGGTACTATTCCTTGAAACTGTAAGGACAATCTATTTCCAAAATTGGACAGTCCTTATTTTTTCTTCAAGGTGGAAATCTCATCAAATGCTTGTAGGATTGTTGGGCTTGAAGAGAAGCCTTGTAGTATTACCGAGTTTATATTCTAACTTTGGAGGGACAAGCCTTGTTTCAAAGTAGATCGCTAGATCTACTCGAGAACTATTGCCTTCAGCCACATGAAAAAACTTTAGTAAATTTTTTTCCTGAGGAAGGGAAATACTAAGTTGATATTAAATGCATTTGTCTCCTGTGTATTAATTGGAGGTCAGTATAACGATCTTAGGGCAGGAGAGACCTAAAGTTCAATAGTTGGGAGAAGCACATGTACTATTGGCAGCTTAAGTGAAGAAACTTGACTGTCGTAGATTAGATGGATATGAACGAGGAAATGATAGCTGGATATTGAATAAAATCTTCAGTACTGGAGCTTAATTTAAGGGTTGTAGAATTTTGCTTAAATTTACAACCCAACAATTTTCAGACTTAATGGCATTGTGGATTGTGGTGAACGACATCAACACATTTACAGAAGAACTATGCTACTGGCAGAACAAGTTAAAGTCAGCAGGGGGAGCCCCCTTATTACATGTCTTCTGGAAGGCCCAAGTGGAAGGTAGAAGCTTGTGTTATTCTTGTTTTTTATGTGGTCATTTATCTTGAGTGTTTTCTTTCCATGGACAGTGGCAAGACTGCAATGGCAGCAACAGTGGGAATTGAAAGTGATTTTCCCTATGTCAAGATAGTAAGTTTATTAAACTTTTGGGAACTTGGACAGTTTCTGGAGATCAATCATAAATGCACTATGAAACCCATCTCTTATTGCCTCTTTCCCCTGTGAATTGTTAGATTTCTGCTGAAACTATGATTGGGCTCAGTGAAAGCAGCAAATGTTCTCAGATAGTCAAGGTTACAGACGTTAAACTTGTGCATTACCTTAGTATGATCAGTCAGAATACACCCATGTAATTATTTTTTGCATTTTAATTATTGACTTTGTCTTGTGATAATATGTGGTAGGTATTTGAGGATGCATACAAGTCACCACTTAGTATAGTTGTCCTTGATGGGATTGAAAGGTAATTTTCCTAATAAATAACCTTCAAACACATTAATATGTGATTTTTTATGCATGTACCTGTGCAGACTTGCGGAACATGTTACAATAAATAGCGTTTAAATGCATTATTATCTGTTTATCATGTAACCCCTGCAGACTTCTGGAATATGTTCCAATTGGCCCTCGATTTTCAAATTTGATTTCTCAAACGCTGATGGTGCTCCTTAAACGGCTTCCTCCTAAGGTATTTCTTCATAATTGCTCAGTATTGTATTTCATGTTACTCATTTGGTACTCATAATTGCCTGTTTGCTTCTTTTCGCACTTCCCCTGTGTGTGGGGTTTAGGAGGTGGCTCATGTACATGTATAAGATAACTTAAGAGTATTAAAGCAAAGGAAAGAAAGAATGTGTAAAAGTTTTCCTGGGACTTGCTTCTGTGGCAACTCTTGAAAGAAATGTGATTCCTTACCTCTTTATCTCCCCTTCAGGCATTATGTTCTTGTATGTTTCCTTTGGAATAATGAGATTGTGACTACTGTACATGTGTGTGCCCGTCTTAGCTATGTTAATCTTTTGTTTGAGGAGGTTGGGTAAACCTTTATCAAATGGAACTATGGAAGTATGTAAAAAAGTAGTGAAAGCATGCATTTTTATTGGATGATCCGTCTTCAGAAGATTTGCTTTCATTCCACAAAGCTGAACATTAGCAATTTATCTTCCCAGCAAAACTAAAATAGGGATGAGCTTTTGTACTAGTAAACAAGAACTCTTTATCTATGACTAATTCATGCAGACTACTTGCCTGGCAGCTGAAAACCAAATTAATGTTAAAGAGGGTCCTGTGCTAAATCTACATGACCTGTAATGTTTTTTTTTTTTTTGAGCGAGGGGGGGGACTGTGAAATTCTCTAGTTCTTTTGCCCCACTAGAAGGAAAAGTACAGATAGCCTAGTGGTCAATAAAGTGGTTAAGAATCATGAGGTTCAGGTTCAAACCCCAGGAGAGACAAAAAAACACTAGGTGATTTCCTCTGAGCTGTCCTAACCAAGGGTGGAGAGAGTTACATGGTACTTGTTGCTGGTGGGAGGTATCCCGTGGAATTTATCAAGGTGCGCGAAAGCTGGTCCTAACACCACATTTATAAAAAAAATTAGCACATATTAATATTAAGCTGTGGAGAAAAAAGCTAGAAAAGCCAAGACGCAGGGATGACTTTTTGCTTTGCTGTGATGTGGATTTCATTACATTGTGGTTGGATATGCAACTGCTTTTTGCTGATGATTCTTACGACTGGTTTCACGTTACAGGGTAAAAAGATTCTTGTGATTGGAACTACTAGTGAATCCGGTTTCTTGGACTCAGTTGGCCTTTGTGATGCCTTCTCAGTCACATACCATGTTCCAACACTAAAGACAGAAGATGCCAAGAAGGTAAGAGGGCATCCAAACTGCCACATATTTTATTTTTCATGCAAGTTCCTTCTCCAGTTGAATAACTCTGTAGCTCCAAGATGAAGAAAGATACATTCATGTTGACAAGAAAAAAGTACGCTGTCGTATGTCAAGTCAAATGAGAAATTCCAAATAAATTCTTATATTGGATGTCATATTACCAGAGTATTTCTTGAAAGAGAAAGGAAGAAATTCTGTACTTTTGTAGAGCCAGATAAGTGCAATAAAGCTTAACTAGGACATCTGAATTAGGTATTCCCAGATAAAGTAGTGCAGTGTTGATGGCTGATGAACTCCTTTGCGCAGAGATTTCACATTTTACTGGACAAAGATAATTGTAACAAGAGGATTAGCAAACACTATCTTGTGAACTCTGTGTTGTGCAAAATGGTGGCTTTGTCATTGATTGTCAACATATCATATCTTTTGGGCTCTTGAGGATCCATTTTGCTTTTTTGACTGATTAAAGAAGGAAGAATGGAGCAAATGAGCTCTAGTGATTTGAGACAATTTTGCACCAGTCTCTCTCATTATACTAGATACTTGAGAAAATTTTGCACCAGTCTTTCTCAATATACTAGATACTTGAGACAATTTTGCACCAGTCTCTCTCATTATACTAGATACTTTCTCAACTCTAATTCATTGGTGCAATTACTGGAGATGTGTGACCTAATGTCATCCCTTTACTATACTACCCTAGTATTGATGTTTTGATGTTCTTTGCAGGTGTTGCAACAACTTGATGTCTTTGCAAGCGATGACGTTGATTCTGCTGCTGAGGCCTTAAATGATGTAAGTTTCAAGGCTCTCTGCTCCCTGGCTTTTTGACCTGCATGTGCTTTCTTTATACCAGCTGTTCATATTTGTCTCATCGCCTCCTGATATATTTGGGTGCTGCTTGAGAAATTAAAATTTCAGGCACATTACAGAGTATTGATAACTAACTCTTGATTTGTGTTGTCTTATGATAGATGCCCATCAAGAAACTATACATGGTTGTTGAAATGGCTGCTCAGGGTGAACATGGTGGGACAGCAGAAGCCATCTATTCTGGGAAAGAAAAGATCAATATCGCACATTTCTATGATTGCCTTCAAGATATTGTTCGATATTGAGTGTGTGGTCTCGAGTAATTTAAGTAGGAACCGTGGTTTTCCTGTGAGTCCTTTACATCTTACACACCCGTTGATGGGGTTCTTCTATTCACGAGTTATTCAGAGGTATTTATTGGTGATTTACGGAAGTATTTGTTAGAGCTCATTCAAAACTTACATTCGCTTTCTAATATCTGCTACTCTCCTTTTCTTTTCCTTTTGGTGTGCCAGTGTATTGTAATCTCTGTTGAGTTGAACATTGCACCTAATACGAATATTTTCCTGGTAAAGCAATTAATTGATATCGGTTGAACATGTATGGAGAAGCATTCGATGCACAAATAGTGCTGTTTATGTTTATTCCCAGGGCTAGCTAATTCCATCCTTTTTAATGCAAGTTGATTTACACTATGGACTTATTATGACAACATCACTAATATTCAGCTCTGTCATACAAATGCACCACCCGAGTCTTTATAATAACTATAGGGTGAAGATCAAGGTAGACCCAGATTTATGATAAGAAATCAAATTGGTAGCAGAAGACACTAACACGAAACAGTTGGTTAAATTGAGGTGATGGCTTGGCCATCGACAACTCAATAATAATAGATAGAAAAAGGTGGGAGAGGGGCTGAGGGACAAAAAAAAATGTACAAAAACTAAAGCTACATGACATGTATGCTAAATGTAACTCGGCCTCTAATCTCACTTAATTAGGGGTGATTGCGGCAGTGATCGATCTACATCAAGAAATATAATTTACAAGAAAAATACCTTACATTTCCTGCCCAAGCAAATCTATTATTCAATTCCCTTGCTTTATTCATCAACTTTGATAAACAAAAAGAAAATACTTTTTGTATAAATTAACATTTAGTGATTGAAATTGTTTTTTGTTAGTAAGGCCAAGCAAACACACGCGAAAGTTGATATTATTGAGGGGTGACAGAACAGTAATATAGTTCAAATAAGAAAATAATTAACAAACAAAATTTTAATACAGTAATTTTTAAGGTACTAAATATTAGTAAGAGTTTACATCTTACAAATAAGTAAAAATTTAATAATTGTAGCTTTAATTAATTTCAAAGTCCTGTATTTAATTAATGTGTTATGTCTATTTAGAAAGAAAGTTGAAAGATGTTTTTTTTTTTAAAAAAAAAACGATTACTATTTTGAATCAGATTCAGTTTATCAAGTCGATAAATACTTGACTCTAAATATATTCTACTAAGGTTATAACTTGTACGCAGGCTAACTGATAGAAAATAAATATTACTATATATACCTTTTGTCACAAACAATATGTACATTCACAATACTCCACTTTAAAGGTTTAAATAACTTTGTTATCTGCAAGGTCTATTCTGTCTTCCACCCTTACTCTTTTGGTGGTATATATATAAATTTATATTATAAAGTATTTATTATTTTATTTTATTTCAGACCTAATAATATGACTATTAGATTCCTAGTTCACCTGATGTCACACCCTTTGTTAGGTTATAAGTTGGTTCCTATAAATTACAAATTGCAAACTAATAGAGTCATTAATTAGAACTATTAATAAACTAATTTTGATTTGAACAGATAGTGAAACTTTTATAAATAATTGCAATATATTCAATGGCTGACAATCAGCCAGTTGGATTCCACCTATTGAAGAAATGATCAACAACTTACATGGAATTTATATATACAAATATTTAGATATATTAGTTTTCATGTTATGTTAAATATCAGATTAATTAATGGCTGTAATTTCACTTTATATATGCAGTTTAATTAGGTATAAGGTAATTTCATCTAATGCCATCCTTTCATTCTTTTCTTTTTCTTTTTTATACTATAGTAACGACAGTCTTCTGATAATTGAATTTGAGTATAACGAGAGTTATCTCTGTCAAAATAAATAAGTTATTAGGTCATCTCATGTTTTCCATCATATAGGAAAGGCCACCTAATTTGTTTTATGCTAATTCACGGAGAAATCGAAGTCATTAAAGGGACCTGCAAGAAATTAACAAGAGATGATGTTGTTTAATTAATCTTATTTTGGCGTTTATAATTATACCACCTTGTGATGATGAAAACCATAGTTAATTAATGACACTTTGAAATACTAATTTAATATCATGAAAAAGATTATGTCACTTAGATCCCATCATCCACAGTTAAAATTAGACATTGTTTTGTTTCACAAAAGAACACTTTGAGGACCACTCAACCTTAAAATGTATTGATGAAAAAATAACTTTTTCTGATAACAAACATGCAAGGCAACTTGGTGAATTCCATCTTGTACTTATGAGTTGTTTGATAGAGTCAATAAAAATAGTACTAAGTAGAATATATTACTAACGTTGAAATTAATTATGCAAAATTTGTGCCTTATGTAAGGTTTAAATAACTTATTATTACTCAATAATAAGGGTAATATTGATTCTTTTTTTCTTTTACTTTTCTAAAATAAATAAATAATATTTTTTTATATAGTGGACAAGTAAAAGAATTCGAAAGAAATATATTTTTATTTTTAACTTTGTTTTTTTTTTTTGCCCTTGGATCCTAATTAAAATAAATAATGTTGCAACAACGGGGGTGGTAGGGAGGTCCGTTCATTCTTGGATGCTTACGTCAGATGCATTATTAACTCCTAATTATTTTCTTAATTAATTAATCAATGGTGTTAGTTGGTTTAGAAAGTGATAGGGATTAATTCCCACCAAATTATTACATTACAAATAATAATAATAAGATTCTTGAATATACATAGATCTATTTGTGTCTTTATTGAATATTCTACAATATTCTGGACAAATAAAGTCGCCTCTGGCATACTTTTGCATTTTTCCTGAAGATCCCACAATTTTCGAAATTGCCAATCACAATATTTTAATAATTACTACTCCAATAAGTATATTTTATTTATTTATTTTATTGTGGCAATTAAATATTTGTTTTTTCTCTTAAATTTTGTACTCTTTGTTTGGGGCTTTTAATTGCTATCCACATGGTTGTGCACGACAAAAGGACGACATCAATAATTTGATGATCCTATGATTTTAACCAATATAATTATTTCATCTATCTGAGTTTCTTACCATGAGCTTTTGTCATTTAAAATTCAATTTTCGTCACATAAAATTTCTCTTGATGACAAAATTTTATTCATTCTTTGTTCTTAAATCATGGGTTACGAAAAGTATATACTAAGGCAATTTAGTATTTCATATCGCTAGAAAAAATAAATTAACCATGAAATTTCTTTTTATCCTTAAAAATATAAATTCATGGCCAATTTCTTACTTACTATTTCTTTAAATTAATTAGCAAATTGTCTTCAAAGATACCTAATTCAAACACTTTAACTATTTATTTATGTTATTAGTATTATCACCTAATGCTTATCAATGTCAATTACTTTTAACCGGCTAATCCAAACCTACTCTTTTTACATAATTAAGAAAAGAAGTAATTACTGATCAAAAGATATCTTCTTTTTCTTATCCTTTTTCGAAAATTATTTTGATAATCATATCTTGGTATCTTTAGTGAATGGAAAACCCATAGATAGAGTCTCCACTATTAGTTATTTTACACTCAAATAAAACCAAAACGTCTTCGATTTTTCATTTAAAAACAATTTTTCTCTTCCTTTTATTTTTTATGGTGGGGTGGGGTTTTTTTTTATTGTGGGGTCACTATAATAAAATTTTTGAACGATAATATTTATTGACACAAAAAATAATTAGTAATTATTAGGTTAATATCAATACATTTAAAGTTACTAAAAACATTTTAATGATATTTAAGAATGTTAATTTTAAATATTTATATTATATTATTATCGTAAATATAATATAGCAACAAATATATGATCGTCAAGCGATAGGTTTAAGCTATTATCAAGAATCCATTGGTATGGAATCGGAGATGCATCTTTCTCAGTAGGGATCACTACTTACCTAATAAATCTTATTTCTCGTGAAATGTAGCCAACACTTTCAATTTTTAATTTTAAAAAAATTTAAAAAAATGTTAACTCTAATTTAATTATTTCACCTTCAATAGCTTGCTGACGGCATGCCATTTTATTATAATATGAAGCATCTATTTAATTAAGGCAGGAATAATTAATAAAATGTTACGTTTGTGGGGAGCACTAGAAATTTATGTCAACTCTTCTAGGAAAGTCCAACATTTTGAGATAGAGAAGAGAGAAGAGTTGATAATTTAATATTTACTCCAACCTGATTTTCCACTTTTTTTCTTAGTCGATTTATTGAGTTTAATTATATTTATATATACCCTTTAAGCCAAGGGAAAGGGTACTGAATAATATTATTTCAACAGTTTTTAGCTTTTCATTGTGCTCCATCGGCCAATCCAAAAGAATTTTACTTTACTTTTTATATATGAATCATTAGATATGACATTTTTCGTCTCACTAAATTCATGTCGTCACAATTCATGTTTGTATTTAATTAAATCGCCAAAATATATCCTTAATATGATATGATATAATTGGGTCGTTGTATATATCCGCACAAAGCTAAGTACCACATGACATGAATTAAATTTTACTTTTTCTGTTCATTTTTATTCGTCACGTTTTGCTTTATGAGAGTTGATTTAAATATCTTTGAAGCTAAATTAAATTAGATTAATTCAATATTTAAATTTAGATATTTGAAAACTACACGAGAAATATTATATGTTGCAATCCTTCTCATATTAATATGTTGAAAATATTTTTTTTTAAATGCCGATCAAAATTTATGTAATTTGATTTTCGAGAAGCGAAACATGACAAGTAAAAGTGAACGAAAATGATACTTCCTCTATCCCTTAGCACACCTATTAAGAAAAATAATAATTGACATAGTGAGTTAAACTACTTTAGGAGTTTATATGGAAAGTAATTGTGTACCACCTACATCATTAATAGACTATTTATGAACATTCAAAACCCAATGACTTCTTTTTTGCGTGTGTATTCACCTATAGCTTCAGGACCAAGAATGCATAATTTTTTCAAAAATATCTCATACCATTAAGAATATTTTTATACATATTACATAATTTTTTTCCCCTCCCAAAGTGCAAAAGTTAAGGTTAAAGGATCTAAAGAAGATATAACTAAATCGGGCATTAAAACATACTAGCTGCCAATAAAATCATAAACTATAGAACATTTTTTTATGATATAAAACATTTTAGATTTAAAATCTAGAAAATGATCTTACTAATAATGTATTCATATTTGGTGTCATATTCCTTTCATTAGCAAATAATATACATTACAACAAGTCA